CCCCTTATTTCCATAAAGGCAAATGAAGGATTTTGAGTGCTTTTGATATGCCTCTTAGTTCCAAAACTGTGCTTTTGGTGTGTGATAATGTTCTGACACGGATTCTGGGGTGTCTCACTCATACAGAAACATATTCCCTGAGATCCTCAGCATCGTGGAAGTTTCTGGGCTTGGGAATTTGAAAGGAGGATTCAAACCCTGGCTCTGCCACTCACTAGAGGAGTGATGTTAGAAAAGTCACTCAATTTCTCCAAGTCTACCTCATAAGACAGAGACAATTTAAAGCGCACTGCCTGAGACAGACTAGGAACATCATCAATACTAATTACTAGCTTCCTCTTCTCCAGTAACACTCTTGGGAGGCACAGTAATAGAAATGCTCTTGTTTGAAAGAATCTGAAGCAGGTGTGAGGGAAGCTGAGAACTGAACTTGCATCTCAAAGCTTCCAACTGGGTTTTGCTGTTTTGTTGGGTTGTGTTCCTGTGTCTTCACTCTGACAAGAAATAGTTTGCAAATGGAGATAATGAGGGGCAACAAAGGCAATTCCTGATGAACTGAGCACAAAACAATTCAAGAATTCTGCCATGTCCCTGTTTTATTACTGGTTTTTCTAAGGAGCAAGAGAGTCAGAACTTAGTTTGTTTTTCTCTTTTCTGTAACCAAACAGTTGAAAACACCTGAATGATAACTATAAAAAGATTAATTTAAGAACAATTAAAAAAATGTGTTTGAGGCATGATACATTTAATAATTCAGGGGAGGGATTAGCATTTATGGGATAGACTAGAAATTTTAATTCCCATTCATGGCAAAGACTTTTACATTGTGCATCTGGCCTGTCTACAGGTGAGGGCACTCACAGGAGAAAGCAGGACAGGACCTGTCACTCCGTGTAGTTGACAGAACCAGGAAGTCAAGGAGACAAGGAATATAGCCCCAGTTCAAAGGCTTCTGGCCCAGCACTGACCTTGATACTGTAGGGAGTCCAGGAATGGCTCTGAGAGTTCAAGGAAAGAATAAAGCATTGCAGTGAATGAGCTGCAGTTGATTATTTTAAAAGTTAAATAAAAGAAATAATGATACCACAGCATTGTCCCACTCTCTAATTATTTCTGTATTTTTATTTAGAGTGTAACTTTAGATAAAACACCTTCCATTCTCTGGGTCCCAGATTCCTCATTTTTAGAAAGAAGAGGTTGGGCTAGATCACTGTCTTAGTTCAGGCTGCTCTAACAGATGGCCTGCACAGCAAACACTTATTTCTCACAATTTTTGGAGGCTGGAAGTCTAATAGCAGGGTGCCAATGTGCGTTCTGGTGAGGACCCACTTCCTGGCTTGTAGAAGGCTACCCCCTTGCTGTATCCTTACATGGAAATAGAGAGTGCCGGTCTCTGTTTCTTCATTCCCTATAAAGTGGCCAACCCCATTATGTGTACTCTTCTCTCATGACCTCATCTAAACCTAATTACCGCCCATAGTGCCCACTTCCACCATTAATCAGTCCATAGCAATCATCCCTAAGTTTCCTTCTTTCTGATTTTGCATATGAAGGTTTCCCACTGGCCACCAAGTCAAAATCAAACCATCTGTCAGCTTTCACAATCTTCCAAACCTGGATGTTATCCAAGGTACCAGATTTGCCTGTCACCTTCCTCTAGGATGAACCCTCAGCTCACTGTAGACAAGACTCTGGCCTACCCTCCCTACCAGCCACGTTAATCCATTGCTTCCACATTTTTTCCCTTGTGCTCATTCTCCTGTCTTGGAAAGTGCTCAACTCTCTCTGTTGACTCAAGAACTAGCCACCTTATGGGAGCCATTTCTCCAGTTCCCAGACCATCTCCTGTGCAGCGCAGAGGAAGGTTTAGGATTTGCCCTGGCCAGGATTTTAGAAGACAAGTTGTTTCATATTGTTTTAGTTCCAATAAATGTCAGTTGTGAAAACTTGAAATTAAATATATGTACAAATCTTGTCCCAGAGCTACTGTTATTACCCTACAAAGTCAAAGAGTAACAGTATAGGAAAAGGCAAAAGATATCATTTGCAGCTGTATATACTTAGGATTATACTTTATGTCTTCAAAATACCAAGCAAATTTGCTGATATTTGTGATAATATAAGAAAGCCACAGTATTGAGGATTTGCCCTTCATTGTAACATTTTATTAAAAAAACCATTCATTTGTCTCCACACTAGGATTTAGGGTTTAGTATTGAATTCTCAGGAGAATTCCAATTTGAATTGGTTCCCATCAACTTAATTTGTGGAAATCATTTGAGAAGTTTTTAAGATTAAGGCAATAAAAGATACTCTTGCTTCTGATACCTGTCCATGATAAATCATCATTTCTCTTATGGATACCATGCATGATACAGTTTAAAGAAATAACTGTAACAATTATCTGAAATTATATCAAAAAGATGATAATATTCTAAAGACAGGGAGAGCTTTGTTTGCACCTTTATTGCTGCTCCATGGAAATGCCTAACCATGTGGCTATTCAAAATCTGGGATAAGGAATAGGCATAAGCAGATAATTTATAAGGGAGAAAATAGAGCCTTTGGAAAAATTTTCAGTATCATTAATAAGGACCCAATACAATTTTCAACTATCCAGATAGAAATGATTTTAAATGTAGTTTATACTAAAAGAGATGAAAAAGATGAAAGAAAAACACCTTCGAGTGACGAGACCATCTCAGTTTCTTAGGAGGTAGAGAAATGCGTGTTCTAAAGAGCCTCCCTTTGCCCCCAGATGCAAGCTCCCCCCTTCCATCCTGCTCTGTGCCCTGGGATCTGACCTTCACAGAGTGCATCAGTGGGCCCCCCCTGCCTCTGGTTCCCAGTCAGCTTCAGCCAATGGGAGACACCAGCAAAAGGTCAGCGGTGGGGGTTGGCAGGGTGGTGTTTCTCTCCCAAAGACCAGCTCTTGGTGGGTGGCCCTTTCCTACAGCTACAGATCTGCTCCTTTTTCTGGCCATTTCAGGTTAAGGGATGGCAGTTGCCACTTGCTGTTGTTAGCTCCAGGGTACTTGTCCATCTCTTACTAGTTCCTCTCACTGTGTCCACACCTAATAAGTTATTCCTGCAGTAAGTCCTCTCCCATCATGCCCTTGGAATTTGCCACCCAACTTATGCCAGGACCCTGAAACATACGGTACATCTCCAAGTCCACTCAGAACCTTAACCAAGTGAGGACATTTTTCATCCCAATCAACTCGCCTTTTCATTCTATAGTCAATATCTGGTGCTTTTGCTTCCACCGAATCCATTTAGGCTTTTCCTTGCACAGCAGCCAGCTTTTCCATTAGAGAATCACCTCTCCTAATCTCTCAGTGCACATGGCTCAGATGAGGCTGATCCCAGCTCCAACCCACTGCTAATCATAGGATCTGAGTCAGTTAAATTAGGCTTAGTCTTAGGACTTCTGTTGGAACTATGGGGGCAAAGGAGCCTCTATTTACTGAGATAGCTGACTGTAAGGAATAACACAAGCCTGGAACAGTCAGGCCAAGGAAGAGAGCATGCCTGAGTATAAACCAGCAAAGTGGAAAGGGGTGCAAAGAGATGGATAAGGCAGGCCTATCATTATTTGAGTCCATGGATCCCACCATGCCTGAAGCTTACCTGTAGACATTGTAATTATAAGAAGTGGTATATCTCCTTTTTGCTCAAGCCAAGTTGAGCTATCGGTCACTTGCAAATGAAAGATCTCTAATAGGCCTTCTCCTAATGAAAACACATATACTTGGGGAGTTGTAGACTGTGATCATCCAGATTTTCAGTGTTGTTTTCATGAAGAACCCTGCCATAGAAGGTTACAGGAGGCTACCTGCAGTTTATGTTATGATTTTGGAGCTACCACCACCTGTGTTGTCCTTTTAGTCCCCTGAAATCTGTGAGAGATGGGACAATCCCAAACCAAACAGCTTCGCTTAATGTTGAACTCTGTGGCTGAGACCCATGCCTGAACTGGTACGAACAAAGAACAATGGTGGAAAACAGCCGAACGCTATGCTCAGGTATTATTTTCAAGTGCCATTTGACTGGGCCTTCTCAGATGACACGGTTCACTGGCAGGAAAGCTGTTACTGTGACAATCATTATTCCCATTTGCCGCCTATTAGAATGTGAGTCACTGGGAGGTCAGACTGTCCTAAAAGCCCAGTGTTCCTGAGCCCTCAAGGCCAAGTTCAAGGGACAGCAATCAGGTGTAGGGACAATGGCCAAAGCTCAATCCTTTGAAATGAACAGAAGGGTTAACCCCCAGGAGATCACTGCAAAGTGGGTTTTACTATCTTCAACATATCACATAGCTTGGGAAAAAAAATCAGAGTGACAATGTTGACAAGACCCCAGGTCCTTTCCACTGCAGTTTTCCTGTTCCCTGAGGACAGAGACTGTGCCCCTCTCTATTCCTGCCTAATGCCATGCCTTGCTCAAAATGTCCTTATAAATGATGACATTCAGGGTCTGCTGGCTTAAGAATACAGATAAAATATAATATAGGAAAAGAGTCAGCATGTGGCCGTTGCTCAAAGAAATCCTTGCTGAGGTTATTATTGCTATTATTATAAATGTATCTGCATTATTAACTAAGCAGGGTCAGCAAAACCCACACAAACCCTTTTAAGCAACAATTTCAACTTCCTTACCTTCCAAGGCAACAGCTCTGTTGGGAGTTTATTTTCCCTGCCCTTCCTATGTAGACATGAGAATCAAACCATCCATTTGCTCATTCATTCATTCATTCATTCATTCATTCAACAGCTAGTGACCATCGCCAATGGCCACATATAGAAGTATATGTGGGGAAATCAAGTTGATTAAGACACAGCCCCTGTAAAATGCGAACCTGTTGGATATGGACAAGAAATCTAAACACGCTGTGAGTGAGAGAATCAGCCTAAGGAACGAGGTAACTGACTTCAGTGGTTGCCACAAGCACTAGGGACCCCTGGGGGAAATGACGATTACAGGGGGACCGTATTCCTTACCTTCTCTGCAAGCCAGCCAAGATGCCTGAGCTCCCGACTCCCGGCAATGCCTGTTTTCCCCAGCTGCTCTCTGACCTCGGCAATCGCTCGGGTGAGCAGGTCGCTGACGTTGGAATGGATGGCACTGAACCAAGCCTGGGCAGTGGCTGAGTCCTTGCTCCTTAGGATCACTGTGTGCTTAGCGTCTGGAGAATGGATTTCAAGCTGCCTAGAGAAGCAAAGAGAGAAGGGTTTGATTTTTCTGGCAGATCATGCTTCCTCCAGGCCTGGGCCACAAATATTAACAATTTTTTTACACTTGCTTTCAGACTTGGTCAGTTTCGCATGGTTTATCTTAATGGTCTCGTCATTCATTTACTAATTCCCTCATTCATTTACTTATTCTCTCATTCATTTACTCATTCACTCATTCGTTCATCCACAAGTATTTATTGAGGGCCCAGGTATTAGTGCAGGTACTGAGGGCATAGCTATCTAAGCACCATATCACCTGAGTTAAGGATGTCTGGTTTTCCTGTTATTGAGCTGAATGGCTGATTAGTATTTTCATATCAAGATTTCCAAACTGTGAGCTGATGTTAATTTCCCTTACCTCTCAATCCACAGAGTATTTTAATCATATATTCATATCCTCACTCCTGCCGGCAGAAAACAGATTGAAATATCTAGCCACATACTTAATCTACTGCTGTGTTAATTGTGAATGTGTAAGAGTCAAAGAAGACTAAACTTTGCATTCTTTAGGAATCCTGCCCGTGCCAGATTTCCCTTCTACTTAATGCTCAGACGTGTAGTGAAGAACTGAAATGGCCTAGAAAGGGGTAACAATGGGAAGACGTGTGCACCAGCGACACTACATTTAAAGTGGGGTTGACGGAAGGGTTAACCCTACATTTAAAGTCAAACACCAAAGCTTAAGCCAGAACTCCCACTGGATCACCTGAGACAGCGTGAGAGATCTGAAAACTGTCATTGTTGTAAAAGGAGGAAATTCTAGACAGACCCTTTTTGTTTAATATTTTATTTTGAAGTACTTACAGGTAAACATGGCGTTGCAAAAAATAGTACAGAGGTCTGCCTACGCTCTTTCGCCCAGTGTCTTCGGATAACGGTTATATTTTATGCAACTACAATACAATAACAAAGCCAGAAAACTGACCTTGATGCAGTGTAAGTATAGGGTTCTGAGCCATTTTATCCTGTGTAGCTTCTTATAACCACCTGCACAGTCGAGGAACAGAACTATTCCATCGCCACCGGTAGCTCTCCCTCCAGCTCCCAGCGCTCCCCTCCCTGCCGCCATCCCAGATCCCCAGCAACCAAGAACCTGTTCGCAATGTCTATAATTTTTTGGTAACTTTTAGTGCAGAGAAAAAAAAACACGTCTTATTCATCCATGTATATATGTAAATAAATACCATTTATTCATTTATGTTTGCATTAGAAAGATACAGGGATTAGGAAATTCAACACTGAACAAAATGCATTTATTAATTTCCTTTCATCCCTTAATAATGAGGCTACCCTGCATTGAGTATTTACTACATGCCAGGCAATGTTTAAATATTTTTACATTATTTTATGTAATTTTCCTAATAGCCCTCTGACTGATACTATTAATACAATTTAACAGAGGGAAAACCTGAAATTTGGAGGGACAGAGAAAGTTGGTGAGATGGTTAGGCTCAAGAGCTCATGATTGAATTACTGTATTACACCATCTCTTCTTTAGACTAGACAGCTTCCAACAGAAGAGCACGCATTGTCCTCTACGGCTGTGTGAAGTCCCCATCACCAGCAAACATGCCCCAAAGTGCCCTACTTAGCTCCCGAGTTCCAAAATAACAATATTGCAGATCACCTGAAAATGAGAAGTCCCAAGTAACCTGGCCTCATTTCCATTTGAAACCAAACTTTTAGAGTGAGTAAACCTTTTCGCCCGTAAACTTACATTGTAGGGAAGGAATGATGTAGGAAGTGGAATGTCTCTGGGGGAATTTTAGCAATAATTAGCCTTTTTTTAAAATAAGAAATTTACTAGACAATTCTCCTCAATGAGACTCCAAATCCTTTATGTGATGAAACGGGACTCTTTGGGTGACATTTGTGCTCATCCAGAAGAAAAAAATGTCATGCCTCTTAGGCACTTATCAAAGAGATGGGCTGTCCATCTGGGGTGAGTTTTCTTCCCCTCCCGAAGTTCGTTCTTGTCAGTGAAGCTGCATCACCAAACCCAAACCGGGATTCTCGAAAAGCATTAATGAGAATTCAACTTACTTTTCAAATTATTCAATCAATATCTCTAATTCTGGGAATTCAAACCAGGCAAATATTTTTTACAATATTTTCTTTTGAAGTCCTGGATTTGTTTTTAAAGAAATGACAGTTTGGGAAGCAGCCACTCCCCAGGTATCTCACACAAAAACAAGTGGTGTCAGCAAAAAAGAAAAAGCGATTTTTTTCTTTGTTGGGCTGCCAGCATACAGCTGGGGGAAAGCCAACTTGTAAATAGACGTACAGGTTACTGAAGGAGGCCCAGGTTTTCGACAGCATTTATCATTATTATTAATTTTTAAGTATGATTTTAAGTATAACATAGATAGAAAACTGCACAAATTGTAGTGTGCAGCTCAAACGTATTTGCAAGGAGAACGCATTTGTGCAACTGATACGCAGATCAAGAGCTAGAACATTATAAGCATCCCAAAAGTCCCCTTCATAGACCCTTTCCAGTTATTATCCTTCCAAAGAATACCTATTAGGATCCGTTACCATGGAATACTTTTGTGTCAGGCAAAATGAATGAGATTTTGTTTGTTTTCATTTGTTGTTGTTGCCTGCAATGCAGTGGGGATTGTGGACAACTTCTGAGGCCAAGTTTAAATACCAGGCCCTATGCTTTTCAGTGGTGATTCTCAAAGTGTGGTTGCAGATGAGATGCAGCAGCGACAGCATCACCTGGGGACTTAGTAGAAGAGCAGATTCTTGGTTCCCACCCTGGACCCACTGAATTAGGGATTCTAGTGGTGAGGACCAGCCATTGCCCTCCAGGTAAACCTGTTGCAAGGTAGAGAAAGGCTGCACTGTGGGTTCATAAGTAAAAGCACTGAGCTAGTCTGTCTGCCAGGTTCCCAGGGGCCGAGGTGGCTGTGCTGACAGGTGAACTGGCCTCCCTGCATTCAGTCCCCTAGGAAGAATACTGTGGACACAGAATAGAGAGGCATGTGGCTTTTTATAGTAACAAAAAAACAAACAAACAAAGCCCCAGAAGTTCTTATTCAAATATATTCTTCAGAAATGCTTGAACAGTTTTTTATAAATCATTTAATTAAATACAGATGTTTGACCCCATCCAAGACCTGCTGAGCAAGAATTTCTAGAGAGTGAGGCCTGTGTATACACATTAAATGTTCCAGCAATTATATAGATTAAGGATCACGGCAATACCTCTAACTGCAAGCCCAGACCCCCTAAAGAGCTATGTGTATAGGTGATTGTCATTAGAAGAGTGTACAACAGGGGGTTCTTGGAGAGTGTATTAGTAATGCATTACTGAATAACAAATACCCCCAGAATTAAGTGGCTTAAAACTGCAAACAGTTGTCTCAGATGAGTCTCTGAGCATCAAGAATTTCAGAGTGGCTGAGCTGGGGGGTCTGGCTCAGGGGCTTCCTGTTAGTTTGCAGTCAGGATGCTAACAGGGGGCTTAGCTGAGGATCCACATCCCAGGTGGTGTCACATGCCTCTCAGTTCATTGCCACATGGGCTTCTCTAGTGGTTGCTTGAGCCCCTTCGTGATGGGGCAGCGGATTTCCCCAGAGAACAAGAAGGAACTGCTATTCCTTTTATGACCTGGTCCCCAAAGTCACATACCACCACTTGTAGTTCATTCTTTTAGTTATAAGTGAGTCACTAAGTCCAATGCACACTCACAAGGAGGAGAGTTGGGCTTCACCTCTTGAAAGAAAGAGAATCAAAGAATTTGGGGACCTATCTTTCTTTAATGTATATATTTTAAATTTTTATATTTAGAAAGGGGGGAAGGGAGAGAGAGAGGGAGAGGAACACTGATGTGAGAGAGAAACATTGATCAGTTGCCTCCTGCATGCACCACAACCTGGGACTGAACCCACAACCCAGGCATGTACCCTGACCAGGAATCAAACCAATGACCTTTCATCTTGCAGGACGATGCCCAACCAACAGAGCCACACTGGTCAGGGCTGGGGACATATCTTAGAATCATCATGGAGAGGCCTTGAATGAAGTAATAATATTTTGAAAGAGTTTGTTTCAAATGTAAAGGGAAAGTGGAGTGTTTGGGACTGTACACCAGCAGCCTATAAAGAGCCTGTAGACTCGAAGAAGAAGATGATGATTCTTTCTGGCTTGAGCTGCAGCTCCCAGTTATAAAATGAGACAGACTGTGGACTCAGACATCAGGGTCAGTGACAACAGGAGGGATGAGAAAGGACGTCTCATTGACAGCATATGGGAGCAGCATGAAGCCACCAAAAATGAGGGTGGGTTCAGACCTGTTGTCTGGTCTGGCACAGAGAAGATGTCTATTTTTCGTGCAAGGAATAAGTTAAGAATTCAGCAATCTACATTCACTTTCCCCTCACCCTCAAGAAAACTCAAGGGGAAGAAGGAAGAGGAGCATAAGCTTTTCTTTTGAATGATCTGTACTATCTAAAGCAAACAGTAAGTACCTGGTAGTGCCGAAGCCCCAGAACCTCTGAGTGACAACTCAAGGTTCTAGAGAAGGTCAAGTGGTAATTTTATATATATAATCTTAGCACATTACTAAGCAAAAATCTGAAATACAGACACTTTGGCCTAATGTGTCATTTAATCCAGTGCAACACACCTTTTAAAGTTTGAAGAGATAGGGAAAGAAATTCCGTATTTGGCCTGACTGCAGTGGTTCTTCCGGTAGCTCGTTTTCTCACCAATTTAAAGCCTACATGCCAGGAGGTAGTTGTTAAGCACAGGGATTTGGGGATTCAGTCTGGTTCTAAATGTTGTTGGCTATGAAGCCATAGGCAAGTTACTTACTCCCCCTAAGCCTCAGTTTCTTTATCTGTAAAATGGCTCAATACACTTGCCTCTCAAGGTTATTGGAAAGACTAAATGAGGCATGCAGCATCACAGTGCCAAGCTAATCGTGATGGATTCTAGTTTATATTCTTGTTTACCAGGAATAGT